CAATAAGGATATAAAAGGAATTATCACGACCAAAATTAGATCAACGGAAAATATTCTCCGAACATTGCAGTGGTACATGTGATCAGATACTGCGGTAATTATCAAATATGCATATTTAACTTTAATAAACTTATCGTTATATAGTGCGAAACGTTCTTGAAGGTTGAAAATGCAAACACTAAAACATCAATAATATTGTAATAAAAGGGTTTCTGCTTACTACAGGAATAAATTTCTAGTAAGGTTTTGTATGCCAAAAGGTATTTTCAAAGTAAAAATGGCTACAGAATCCATTGTGACATTACTAGCTGGCGAAGCTTAATAAATCAATCATTGATAAGCATCTTTCTATTGATTTTTCCATAATAGTAAAACTTTACTTTATGTTTCAAATCTTAATTTATTAGTATCAAAATAAAACTTATCATCCCGCCTACATAGTACTTTGCTCTATCGATTTGATACTCCAACCTATGGATTTCCAACCTCCTCTAAGAAATATTTTGCAGAGTTACTTCAATATTCCGAAAAATTAGTAAGGGAAAGAAAGTTTGCGGAGCTAAATGAACGAAAAATAAAACAGTCCGCGCCTTACTTTCATGCTTGCCTCTATATGTAGATTATTCATGATGCCCGCAAGAGATTAAAACAAAAGAAATGTTTCGCTGTTTTGAGTTATATCCGCAAGTCTGATAATTCTGTTATATTTGAAATCAGGTGATAAACTTTTTTTTGAGTTGACAACACCAATTATCGTTTCCTTTTTAACATTATGAATTTCATTGTCGTAAAGATCGCGATAAATACGATCTTTTTGATGACAAAAAGGGAATAAAAATAAAATATAAATTTACAATGATATTTTTGTTTATTTATTTATTTTTTTAGGTCCCTCGGACATCTCTTTAGTCAATATTATTTTATTAATTGATAATTAAATTATTTTTCTTTTTTTTTAATAAATATATAAATTTGTAAATTTGTTGATTTTTCATTGGAAAAGTAAACCACCACCGTTTAGTAATTAAGAAGGTCATAAAATAAGATGATTTGAAATTATTTTTTGGTAAAGTCAAAGTTTATTTATAATTATAATATTACAACTCATTACATTCAGCCTGATCCCACATAAAATCGTTTAAATCTCATCGTTTTGTTCAAAATTTACTTATGAAATATCGATAAATCAAACTAACGCGAATACAAACAGAGCGTTAATCGTCACGAATATGTTAAATCTACAATAGCATGATATTTTGCATTAGTGCAAATAAACTATATAAAGTTCCGGTCTGTCCTATTTTTAAAAGAAATATTTAAAAGTTTCAGTGATGGAAAATGTATATTCGAACGGCAAGCTCCATCCGTATCAATTGTTGCAGTCATGCCACTATAGTTGCATGGCAAAACTCATTTTAGCAAATGGCAAAAGTCGAAACCCTATATTTCAACGGATTTGTTAATAAGTATATAATATAGTTTTGACTTTTGACGGAATTTTATTATGGTTTCGAGTTTCGACAGGTTTGCCAATAAGGTTTTACTACAGTTTTGTCAATGACCCTGTCGAAATCCGAGAGTTTTCCAGGCAACTATACATGCCACGCAGTTTGTTATTAATTTTAATACTCGTAATTTCAAAACCTCCGGGTTATTTTCTTTTTTTATTTAACTTCAAGAGATGTGGATCAGGTGTACTAAAAATCCTGGTTTGTAATCATCAACTGGTTGAACATATTTCTTATACAAATTTTGTCGGCAGTTTTGGTTAAATATCCAATCATCTTTTTAGATCAAACGATTAAAGTGCTATATATGTAATAAAGAGTATATTAGCGTTATAATTTTGAATAAAAATATATCCTTTTTTTTATATTTTTAATCAAAATGTGTTAAATTAAGTAAAACACACTTTTGGAATAAGTCCATAGAACTTTATCGTAAATAATGAGGGAGTAAAAAATCAAGGAATTTGAGAATGCAGATTAGAAATCATGCCACAGTGCTAACGGAGGGATTTCCCTGCGTAACCTTCAAAAAATGTCACGAAATTTCACGTGATATAATTTGTCAACGGTGTCACATCCCTCCGCGTTTAATTTTTACCAAGTATTATCTGTAATGGGGATTTAGAATTTTTTCAGTAATTAAAAATCTATTTGTCACGACTATACGTCATATATGCGCCTCAATTAATAGTTTCGTTTATAATATCTGAAGATAAATTTTTTTATAAGATTTTACTTGGCGAAGTGGGTTGGGCAGAAACGTCCGAAAGGAAGAAAATAAAATTTATATTTACTTTATTTATATATCTCAGGTGTAGCTTTATTGAATTATTATTATTAAGTTAAAATAAGTTCTTTTTATATTATTATATTTTCTAATTTTCACTTAAATGCTAAATCAAGAATATTTTCACCTTATTGAAATTAGAATAAAGCTTACACAAAGAATATTAAATAAATTATATGGGAAGTTTCTATTAAAGTCACGTTAGAATAAATAGTAATGATTAGTTAACCAACTAACTATATGAATGATTTTAAATGATTGATTAATTGATTTTAAAATTTATTTATACAAAGTTTTTATTATGCAAAATATGATAATTTTAATATTTTTATCTATAATTGTATTGTTAAAACAATTTTTATACTATATATGAAAGCTTCAACTAAAAATGAGATTTTTGCATTATATTATTGTATGATATATAAAATTTATTTGGTTACTATAATTATTTCTTAAACTTATTAATTAATTTTATAATATATATTTTTTTAAATTATATACAAGTATCAATATATATATAGCTAAGCTATTAAAATCAGGTTAAAGGATCCTCTAACCAAAATAAAAATTTTTGATTCAATTTTATTATATGATATATAAACTTTAAAAATTTATTGTCAATTATCTTATTCATAAAACAAAGTAATTAAACTTATAAAATTTCACATATTTTTATGTAATAAGACCCTAAACTTCAAAAATATTTTAATTTTAATTAAAATTTTAATATAAAACTATTTTAAATTATATTAATACTTATAAAAATATTTTTATTTTTTTTTTTTAAAAAAAAAAATAATTTTTTAAAAATTTATTATTCTTTTAAAAAAGAATATTTTATTAAAAATATTTTATTGTAATATATTATATTTAAATTTCAAAATTATTTTTCTAATAAAATTAGTGTAATAATATGTGTAGAATGATTTTAATAGTAAAATCTCAAATATTATAAAGTATTATAAAATTAAAGTAATAATATCATATAGAATAATTTTAATTATAAAATTTTATATATTTTATAATAGTATAATTTTAAATAATAAATCATAATATTTTTTATTAATTAATTTGACTTAATATTTAAAAATTAGAATAATTTATAAAAATATTTATTGTAATATAGTATTTTTTAATAATTATTTATTTAAATTAATTATTTATTCGTAAATAATTTTAATAGTTTAGCTTTTATATTTATTAATATTATAATTATAATAGATAATCTATTGGATTTTATCAAAATATATAATTTACTTTTAAAATATATATTTCTGTAAAAATTTAAATAAATAATTTTTTGATTCATAATTGCACTTTTGAGTTTTTAATTACAATTAAAAATAATTATTAAATGCAATTAATTTTTTAATTAGTTAATTAAATATTTAATTGCATTTAATAATTATTTAAGATATAATAGATATCTAATAAAAATTAGCTGAGTACTTATTAGATAATTAAGTTATTAAAAATCAGTAATTTTGAAAAATAATAATAAACATGTAATTTTTTATAGTTTATTAACAATATAATATATAGGGGCAGTTAGCAGAAAGAAGAAATTGACTTTTTAGTCAAATTTTTTTATTAGATCACTCTGCTGATAATGTCATATAAACAAAACTAACTTAATAATTAAAATTACTCAAAATTTGTTATTATTTTTCAAAATTACTAATTACTTGACTATTTATTTACATCAAATTAAGTTCAATTAATCTTTATAAGCAGTTTATAAATATTCTAAGCCCATTAAAGATAAATGATTATATAGTAAGTATTTAGTTATTTTCAGATATCTACTATATTTTAATTTTACAATAAAATAAGTCTTAATTAATATTTTAAGAACTTAATTAATTAGTTAATATTTTTAATATAGTTACAATTAATATTGAAAGTTATATATAATTAATAGAAAATAAAATAATTTTAAATCAAATATTAACTATAATTATATATATATATAATATAAATTATAATAAAAATAAAAGGATTTCTTTTTAATAATAAATAAAATTTAACTTTGCCTCAATTTATGTTAATTTATTTACTTGATTTATTCTAAAAATTTAGGTTAAATCAATAAATTTTTAGGTTAATATCAAATCAGATTAACAGGTTGATCTAATTTAACTTAATCTAATATAATTAAAGTTAATTAATCATTCTTTTTGAATGATTTAATATTCAATTAAAATAATTCAATATTATTCAAGAAGAATGATTTATTATCATTTAATTAGAATGAATTATTATTATTCTATTAGAATAATTTATTATTGTTCAATTAGAATTATATATTATCATTTTTCTTGAATGATTAATTATTATTTAATTAGAATAATTTATTATCATTCAATTAAAATAATATATTATTATTTTACTTAAATGATAAATTATTATTCTACTTGAATAATGTATTATTTTTAATTAGAATGATTCAGTCAAGTTATAACAGGTCAAATGAAAATTAAAATTAAATCAGAATTTTGTTTAACCTGATCTAATTTTTTTAATTCAAGTAATTTGATTAACATAACCTGAACTGACTTATTCAGAGCTCTAATAAAATTAATTAAAAATTAGATAAAAAATAATTAATCCTTTTTAAGAGAAATAGATTTACTAAAATATTAATAAATTTTAAATTATTTCTTTTAATAATCCATTATATAATCACTAAATAAATATTAATATTTTATAATTTAAATATATATATAGCATTTATGTATTGTTTACTTATAATTGATTTAATAATCTGTTTTTCTTCATATTTTTTTTTTACAATTTTAGGTATTATATTTGATAAAATTTCATATTTTTAATTTTTTTATATTTAAATAAAATTATGTAATATTACTTATATAGATAACAAATTTACTTAGAGTAATAAAGATTTCATCAAATAAAATATAAATTTAATTTTTTTTCTTTTTATTTAATTGATTTATAATATATTTTTGTAATCCTTTTAATATCTTTAAAAGATTACTACTTATTTATATATAAATATTATAAATTAGAATTTTTATATTATATAGTATAAGTAATAATTTAACATTATTCTATATTATAAATTTATATTTCTTTTGTTACTTATTTCTTTGTGACTTTCTTATATTATAGACTTATTTTTTTATAATGTTTGATACATTGTTATTAAATTTTATTAAATATAAATTTAAGTATAATTTAGCAATTATATAATTGGTATTATTAATTTAATAAAATTTATTTTTAAAATATTCTTTAGATACTAAAAATTAAATTATAATTTTAGCATTTATGATTAATGAATTATAAGCTTTTAAAGTCAAATAATTATTAAAAAGTACTTGTATTTTATTTTGTGGATCATTGTATTTATTATATAAAATATTTTATAATTTATATTAATTTATCTTTTATAATTATTTATGAATAATAATAATAATTAATTTAGAAATTAATATAAATTTATTTATCTTTATATATATAATTATATTAAATATTTATATATTTATTTTTAAAGAATTTTATTATTTTTTTTTTAAAAGCATATTTATAATAATATTTTAAAAGAAATTTTTTATTAAAAAATATATTATAGTATATTTTATAATTGATTTTTTAAAAAGCTTTTTATTTCTTTTAAAAACTAAAACTAAAATTTTTTTAATAGCTTACATTCATTTTTTAATAAAAGAAAAAAAAAGAGAAATTTTTTTATTAAAATATACTTAGTGTAAAAATTTAATAGCTTAATTTCTACATAATTCAAATTATTTAAAAAATTTGATTTTAAAATATATATAATTCAAAAAAAAATTAATAAAATTAGATTATTATTAATAATTATAAATTTAATAATAATATATAACAAAATAATATTTGTCTGTTATATAAGAGTAGAATAGTTAATAATTACTAATTAAAAAGGCAAATACTAGTTAGTTAATTTAATATTTAATTAAATCAAATTAATTAAATAAAAATAAATTAAAATTATAAATCAAATAAATATTTAATTGAATAATTAAATCAAAATTATAAATTAAATAATAAATAATATAATACTTAAATAATAATAATAATGATTACTTCTAAATATTATTAAATAAGCAACAATGCAGCTTTATTAAAAATAAATTAATTAAATTTGAAATTGAGCTTAAGTTAACTTTCCTAAGAAAATATTAATAAATTATAATTATTGTTAATATTTTTTATAAAAAATTACTAATAAAATTATATAACAGATAGTTTATTAAAAAAATATATATTAATACACACGCAAAGATCATATTTATTTAATAAAATAGCGGCTGTTACAAAAAGACCTGTCGGCTTTTGAAACAAGGTTTAAATATTAATGGCAAACTTAACGCTATAGAAATTGCATGTAAATAGAGGAGGTACATGTCTTATGAAAAATAGATCGATATTAAATTAAGATTAAGAATTATGTATTTCTACGGAATATAAATTTTATTGTTCTGGTGCAATATGGGTCATAATTGTGGTTAACGAGTTGTAATTTAATAAAGAATTCTAGAACAATTGTCCATATTGCTTAAATAAACATGCAAGTTTATACAAAGTAATAACAAATCCGCCTAAACTTCTGAAGGTTAGAGCTTGACGTCTACTGTCCGCAGTATAGATTTTCTATAGAGTATAACATATAAAACGCCTCCAGAAAAATTTGATTCGTGATCAGATCAAAATAAACTATGAGTATAGTAGTAACATAGGCACATGTCGTAATAAATTGATGTCATATTAAAAGCGTACTGATAAAAGAAAATTTTCTTTCTCGATTTTACTCTCTCTCTTACGCTCTATTTTCTACGCCATATTTTACGGTTGTGACTTTTATGGTTCCCAGGAAAAGAATGTAAGTAGCACACAGACACTAAAAACCGATATTTGCGCCATTAACCTGTTTTGCACCAATAATATTTAGATTTTCTAAATGGCTAAACAATCCACCGAAAAAATGGATGAAACAATTATCAAAGGACTTTCTAAGGCCGTTCAGGTAATCTATATAATTTTAGAGAAAAACCAACAACAGAACGTTATTTAGCAAGTTTATTTCCATAGAAGCCAACCCTATGGGCCGGAGGGCAAGAAGATTATATATGGACCTTATCCACCGATATTAATCATTACTTTTTGGGACGCGATATGCCTCCTTTACACACACTATATCAACCTCCCTACCAGGAAAGCGACTCTCGAGAGGCAGGTGATATTTCTTACACAGAAGTTGAAATTTCTGCGCAATTTGATAAAGAAGAAGGAAACGAGAGAAAAATGTCGACCAACCGCGATAAATCTGACATATTCACTTCAAAACAACAAACTGACGAGATTTATGATAGGGGCATCAGTTCGATTAACACCAAAACCGCCAGCATTAACATATCGGATGGCAGTCAATACATTACAACAGGAGGTGGCAGCGTCAAGGGTGAAACAGATGCAAATATTCAAGCGGGTGAATTCTGCTCTAACAGAGAAAGAACCAAAAAGATACACCCATCCTTTGGGAAATTGTTCAGAATCTATCCCATGGGAAGCGTTGCAAGAACCGAGTGTCAATTTGTACAGCCACACAATAAACGTAGAGAATGCGAAAGTCATGAGTCCATGCTTCAAATGTCAGAAGGTAATGGAAACGATGTATCTCACACATCTAACAGAAATTCACAAAAATCACCTATGGTAGTTGAAATGATTGCCCATGAGACAGACCGTCAACTAATCGCATCCATGTTAAAAATTGAGTTCGATGAACGATTAAAATGTTATAATTATGAATTGAAGGAAATTCGTGAGTTTGGTTTTACTCACATCATAATTGTTGGAATGCTTCAATTTGGACCAATGTTCATAGACTGTTACGGTCGCATCTTTAATTTGGACACGATGACTGGTGTGTTGTGGAAAGTTGGAAATTCCTTGGAAGAGGCAGCAATGGAACCCTTTTCTATTAAAACAGCATGGATTGTTGAGGAAGATGGGACTATTGATGATTTTGAATTTGGTAAATATGCAAACCTTGATTTTTCTTTGTCATCATGTATGTATAACTAATTTTCTCTCTTCTAGATCCTACGAACAGCCAAGTTTTTGAAGATCAAAAAATTCCGAAAGTCGAGAAGGCCAAGAAAAAAGTCCAGAAAAAAAAGGGGAAAAAAAAGAAAAGCAAAAAAAATAGCACAGTTTTTTAATTCTCTTATTTTAGTAGTAGGGATCATGGAAGTTTACAACTATATATAGTGCAATAATATTTTTTACATATCCTTTTTACTTTGCTTTTAGCGATTTTTTATGTAAATGTAAACACAATTTATTCTTGCTTGTAAGACCAAAAACCACAATGTTATTGTTTTAAAATAAAATATAACTAATTTGATGTTAATAAAAATTTATGTAATCTAATAAGAAATTAGATACCTGGTTGTTTGTAAAAATCTAAAGTAACATGAATATATTGAGAAAAATTATTGTAAAATGATTGGTAGCGGACGTTTAAGGGAGGAATAAGAACATAAAAATCAAAATACTGCCGGTCTCCGACATCTCACTAAGCGAGAGTGGCACTTTCCTTTTTGCTAATTCATACTGTTTGTTTTGCTGTCTAAATCAGCACCTATTTTATCAAAATGGTTACTTTTTAGAATTAATTCCACCCTAAGAATACCCTTTCTCTTTATATACTTTTCTAAAATATCCTTAAATTTTTTGAAGTGATATTTGAGAATGAATGTTTTAGTCTAGCCTGCAATCAAAATACATTAGTAAAAATATGAATAAATTTCTTATAGAAGAAGAAAGCCGCGCGTGATTGGCCATTAGCCGTGTCAAATTTACCAATAAAATTTCTAGCGTGAATATTCGAACTAACAATCATATCAAATGAAATCTAGGCTTCTTTGCAACTACCTTCTATTTTACCAAAAAGATCGCATTTACTATCGTATAATACTCTTGAAAATTTTATCTCACATGCAAATTTCTGGTAAGAGCAAAGACAATACCGAGTTAAAAGTAAAAAAAAATTTATCTAAAAATGAGAAGAATGAGAACGTTTTAGTTTTATTTAATGTAACCATTGCATTCATAAAAATTCCTACTGGTTAGAAATATCTACCGTTAATTCAATTGATGCCATTGGCATTTCAAGAAGAACAATCAAAAAACTTGACTCGTAAATGTGGATTAAATGACACATTAAAGAAAGATTTCCAACTGTGAATTGTGGATAAGTTCACGGATGTAGACACGGAAATAATGATTCTGAAAAGAAATTGCAACTTTTAAATGAAATTTTTAAGATAGCTGATTATAATAAAAATCAAGAAACATAACTTCAATTTAAATAATAAGTTTGCTTCTATAGTACTAGGTGTAGGTGTAATGTATCTTAGAATGCGAATGGTTTATTCCTTACAATATCTTATAGAAATATGAATGAACTTGATAGTCAGATTCATTCGCTTCTAAACGGGAGTTTAATATAACTGTGGATTCTACGTTCCGCCACAATATAATAACATGGATTCGATTTATCAGCTCGCTACTTGGTAATGTGCAAGTCCAAATTTGCTAACACAATATATCAATTTTGACAGACTCAATACCATACTTATTGACAAATATTTATATCCGGACTTTCAAGTTTTGTTGTCAATTATCAATGAAATTAAAGTTAGGGGGTTTTTTAGGAATTCTTGTCAACAACCAAAGTATTGCCATCAATTACAAGTAAATTTTCATCCCACATATAGGGTATGACAAAATCTCTAATAAAAAATGAAAAAATAGAAGCGAATAGAAAATACCGCGAACCATCGAATCTAATCAATAATTTCTGTATATATGGTGACCCATTTTGTTTTAATATTTCTTTAATAATATTCACTCTATTTATTTTGTGGAGCAGAATAAAACTTGCTGCTGTGTATCTGATTCTCTGGTGGCAGAACTCTTAAATGCAATCACTTTTTTATGTATATATAAATTTCTGTGACATTTTACTGATATTTCATGGTGGAAATAAAAATAATGGTGGATCAAAAAGATTATGTTGTATGATAGAACTGTGAAAACAAATTATTTCACAAAGCAACTGTGGAATATCATGATTTTGTAGTACCATGAAAATTCATGAAATATTTTAAAAAGAGTATATAAAAAAAAAATTTTTAATTTCTCTATGCAAAAAAAATAGGTTCCTCAAACTTTTAATTGACTAAAAGTAAAAATATATATATTTATTAATTTTGGGAAATAAAATTGATAATTCACAATAAAGAATGCCTTAAAACTATTTTTTGTATTTTAGTATATTTTAAAAAACTAATGAACAAATTTAAGATTTCATTAAAATATTTTCTAATAAGTTTATAATTTAATTACTTATTAAAAAGAAAAGTATCATGTGATTTTACTTAAAATCAAAAAATAACAATAAAAAATATGATGTTTCTAAATATTAAATAAATATAACAATTTAAGAATATTTAAAAAATGATTTTAATGATGTTGAATAATAAAAATAAATAATATGATATGATCTCATCAACCAACTTCTCAAATATATGTTTAGAGGACTTCAGGTGAGAAGTAAAAGGAAAATTCTTTCTAAAAATTGCAACTATCCTTAAACTGTAAATATTTAAATAATATTTTTAATAGCTTTTAAATAATCAAAGTAAATATTTTTTAACTTTGATTGTAATTGTATACAAAAACTAAATATAACAAATCTGATTAGAATCAATAAATCAGGATAAAAAAAATCAGATTCAGGTTAAAGTGGATATCATAAATTTGATTTCAAATATTTTTTCAATTTTTCACAATATTAATATAATTAATCTATTTAATTTTGAATATACATAAAATAAGGTTTCTTCTAATTGTATTATTAGTTATAATAAATATGATAATGTAACAGAATTTAAAATTTTGATATAGATAGTGTTGAAATTCTATTAATAGTTTTGGAAAATAGCTAAAGTATTTTCAAAAAGGTGATAGATTAAGCATAATTAATATAAATGTAATATTTAAAAA